CTCGCGTTCGCATAAGAGGAATTGAGGACCCGCATTATTTGTTCTTCACGTTCGCGACATGAATCTCGCGTTCGCGTAGTTGGAGCAGTTAAAGCATCGCGTTCACGGGTAAGGCACCGCGTTCGCGAAGGGTAATTTGGTCAGAGGCCATTTTTGTTCATCGCGAACGCGAGAGAGCCCTCGCGTTCGCATAGAGTAAAAAGTCACCTGGGCAGAATAGATTTAAGTCATTTTGTTCCGCGAGCTAGGTTATTTTTCCACCATTTTTTAGCATCCTTGAGGGCTTTTGGATGGGAATTGAAGGGGATTTCGACTGGGATTGATTGGAGGTAAGTTTTATGAACTAAAGACATGATTTAAATGTAGAATCAACCTAGAAATTCATGAAAAATTTATCAAAAAGGGGGAAGAACTAGGGCTTGAGTTTTGAAATTTCAAATTGGGTTTTGATGGGTCATTCGAACTCGGATTTGGGAGTTATTAGTATGTATAGACTCGTGGTGAGATAAGGAATTCGTTGATGTAAAATTTTCTGGAATCCGAGAAGTGGGCCCGGGGCTCGGGTTTTGCAAATTTTGTGATTTTCGATTCTTTTCGATTGGGTATTATTCCATTGGCATATTGTGACGTATTCGTTGTGGTTTTTTGTTAGATTCGACGCGCGAGGAGGCCTATTTGAGAGGCAAGGGCATAGCGAGCTAGGATTTTGGCCGGCTTGAGGTGAGTAATGATAGTAAATGATATCCTGAGGGTTTGAAACCCCGGATTTGCACAACGTAGTACTATATTGAGGTGAAACACGCGCTTAATGACGAGCGCGGTGTTGTTTACTATTGGGTATTGTGACTTGGTCCGTCCCGACTTATGTTTTTTTTTACCGTGTATTTGACTGAGATGTGTTTATTATTAACATGACTTGGGCCTATTGCCATATTTTGGGTTTCATGCCGACTACTTGAATCCTTCATGGACTTTTATCACTGTTTCCTCACTATTTTGATATACTACTTGAACTCAGTCCTTGTTGATTATACTGCATTACAAACTCATCCGCTTTAATTGAACTTTGAGACTTAAATGATATTTCCACTGTTGTTTGGGCTGAGCACTACTATTTTATTGATGCCCGAGGGGCTTATGATGTTTTTCTGGGTTGAGTAAGGCCGAGGGCCATATGTGAGGATATGTTGAGTGATGTGAGGAGGCTTTCAGGCCTTATGAGTGATGTGAGGAGGCTTTCAGGCCTTATGAGTGATGTGAGAAGGCTTTCAAGCCTTATGTTGATATAGCGTTTGGGCCGTAAGGGGCCCCTCCGGAGTCTGCACACCCACAGTGAGCGCGGGTACCCATATGATCTGAGAGTGAGCCCGAGGGGCTGATATTATGCTGAGTGACTGATACTGAGCCCGAGGGGCTGATACTGTTCTGAGCAATTGATACTGAGCCCGAGGGGCTGATACTGTTCTGAGCAATTGATACTGGGCCGAGGGGCAGATTTCTACTCACTATTTATTGTTGTTTTACCTGATTTACCTGTTTTTAAAAGGAGATTTCTTTTGGCTCTTTACTATTTTTACTGTGTTAAGTGATTTACAGCCGGATATAGAATTTCCTTGTGCACTTATGTGTTTTCATGCCTTCGGTTATTATTTTATTATTATTACTCACTGGGTCGGAGTACTCACATTACTCCCTGCACCATGTGTGCAGATTCAGGCATAGCAGAGTCCGCATCTGAGCGCTGATTCCTTCCAGACCAGGCAGCGATTTGGAGTTACGAGGTAGCTGTTGACGTCCGCAGCCTCTTGTCTCCCCTACCCTCTATCATTTATGTTGTCTTCAGACTATTGTACCAGATTTCATACTTTGTAGACTTATAGAAAACTTTGTAGTAGCTCATGACTTGTGACACCCCGGTTTAGGCTGTGTCGGGATGGTTTCCCTTGTTATTATCGTTGTTCCGCATTATTGACTATATTAAGCATGTTTTAGAATTGTTAGTGTTAATTAATTGCTTTAAAAGAGGTATTTGCGTTGTTCTGGCTGGCCTTGTCTTCACGAGAGGCGCCATCACGATCGGGTTTGGGAATTGGGTCGTGACATTAAGGCTCTGCCGCCACCGTAGGCGATTTTCGGCGGTGGTGCTAGGGTTTCTGTGATTTTAGATCTAAGATCTAAAGATATTGCTGGGGCTTTTGGGAGATCGGTTGGTATGGTGGGGTTTTAGAGGGTGTGGGGATGCTGTTTTGTGATTTTGGGTAGGTTTAGGGTTCCGATGCCGCCGCGGTCGATTTCCAGTGGGCGGTGTATGGCGGCGGCTTGCTAGGGTTTCATTTTTTGGGTAATATTGTATCTTGAAGTTGGTGGGGTGGGGTATAGGAGAAAAAGAGGAGTTGATTGATGTAAGTTTGGGGCTATTTGGTTAAGTCCGGCCGGCGGAGGCGATTCCCGGCCGGCGGTCATCGGTGGTTTGAGTGGGGGTAGATGGTAGTGCGATTTCCGGTGTGGTGAAGAGTGAGGGTGAAGGGGCGGCTAGGGTTTGGGGTGAGGTTAGAGAGAGATGGTGTGAGAGAGGGGGAGATTGAAATGAGGGGGGTAGGAGCTGTTAGGACACTTAAATATTAAAGGGTGGGTGAGTTCCGAACTGTTAGATCTATTGAAGATCAATGGCTAGGATTAATCGGCACCAAAACAGTGCCGTTTAGTTTTACTGAGGGCTGGACCGGATTGGGGTATTGGGCTTGGATTTTTTGAATTGAATTTTTGGGATTGGGCTGGTTTAAGAACTGGCCCAGTCCGGCCAAGGTGTATCTAAACACAATCTTGTCTAACTAACTTTTAAAAATCTATTTAACTTAATCAAATCTTAAATTAAGTACTAAATTATTTTAAAATATAAAATTAAACTAACTATCTATTACCATAATTAGTTAATCCTAAATTAATGATAGAAAATTACTAATTTAACATTAAAAGTTAGAAATGTAAAAATGAACATTATATTTGTGATTTTTATTTTAATAAATAATTTATTAACGTCTTAACCTTAAAAATGCAAATAACGATCTGAAACGCAATGCATGAAATTTTGAAAATTTTTAGGGTATTTTTCGTGATTTTAAAATACTAAATGTGCACAAAAATGCAACTATATGCAAACAATTAACAAGAAATTCCTAAAAAAAATTCTATAAAAACGAAAATAATTTAGAGAAACCTTTTTTTTTTAATTTTGTTGGAATATTTCTAGTAGGGCAAAAATCACGCGTTCACAGTAGGGGTGTTCATGGTTCGGTTTGGGTCGGTTTTTCCCTAAAAAGAAACCAAATCAAGTAAGTCGATTTTTCAAATATTGGAACCAAACCAAACTAATTAAGTCGGTTTTTTATCGATTCGATTTTTGTCGTTTTTTCGATTTCTTCAATTATTTATCAGTTTTTTTCTTAAATATAAGACATACATATAATAACTTATAAATTAAACGTCTAAGTGTGCAATATATATATATAAGTTTACGATGATTAAATTTGACTTTATATAAGTGATCAAGTCGTCTAATAATAACTTTGTGTCAGTTTCAAACAAATTGATTAAGTTTACGATGATTAAATTTGACTTTTTGCATATGCGCGTGTAAGGGAACACCATGCAAAAAGATCAGATCAATTTCAGTGAAAATTCTTATTCATTTTCCTCTGTAATATCGTCTCTAACTTTTTATATCCTTAATTGTTGGTTTTTATATTTTGAAAGCATTCAAATCCGGGCTTTGGGTTGTAAAATAGTAGAGAGCTTTAGAAAAAAAAATTCTTGATTTTGACTTTTGAAGAATTAGTCTGTTCTTGTTAAAATAGTGGCTGAAGTTATTGAATAAAATGGGAGCATAAAATTAAAAGGAAATACTTTTAAATGGTTGTGGATAAGTTGCTTGCCTCGTGAATTTTTGTTTTACCATTTGTTCATAAAAATTGTAATCCTATGCTTAATGCATAATCCAGAAAATATTACTCTAAAAATTAATTTTTGCCTTCTAAATGCATAATTTAGGATTGGTCTGCATAAAATTTCGAAAAGACTTTTTTTTTTCGTTGAAGACAAAGGATAGATTTATGACAAATTGAAATTTGTGATCTAGTTATAAACACTTGTTTAGCTATAATTTAAGAAGTTCAAAACTACCATTTTGTCTTTTTAGAAAATGCAAATGTTAGTCATTGCAAACTACAATTTTTATATTTTTCTTAATATGGGCAGTTTATTCTCAAAATATAGCTCTTTTATTGTAGTTCATTTTATGATTCCATGTCCCAACACATATAACATTTTAAATAAAATTTTCAAAGAATAGTACTATTATATTGATAAGTTTTCACTCGTACTCACATTTACTCTATCAAGAATAAGTTTCACTCTTTTCTTGTGTTTACTTTTTAAAAGCTTTGTTTAGCTAATTAAGTTTCATCGCTTCTCTATTTCATTTTGAAATATATTTTTTAATCATATTACCATAAGAAGAATTACAACTTATAATATTTTTCGTATAATTTTTGAATATTTAAATTTTAACTTTAAAATATTAAATTAATTTAATAGCTTCAAAGATTAGCCAAATTGAATATTGAAAAGCAAAAGGGTTTACATAAATAGGAACAGAGGGAGTAATTGGTAAGGGTTGCTGTGTTATATTACATCGTCAGTACATAGCACTTAAACTCAAAAAATTATAATAAAGAAAAATATACATAAAAAATAAGAAATTATCGTTAAATATTGATTAGTATAATATACAAAAGAAGCGTAGAGGTATAGTAGGGGAAGGTTTATGCAGAAGCTAATCAAGCTATTCACTCAATTACTCCTATAGGACCATTCTGTAATTATCAAAACTAGAGGTACGACTTTTATAATCTTACAAACTTACAACTAATTCTGATTCCCTGAAAATAACCGCCAAAAAATCCCTACATAAACCCAACACTCTGCAACAGAAAATGAAAACGAAAACTCAAAACAACAATGGCAGCTTCCTTCAATCCATTCTTCTTCTTCTTCATTATTTTCAGTTCACTTCTCTCATTTTCCACTTCTCAAACAACCGTCCCACCACCGCCGTCGCCGCCGCAATCCCTCTTAAACGCCGCCGAAACACTCTCAAACTCCGGCTACGTTTCCATGTCACTCACTCTCGAACTCATCTCTGATACCATCCTCTCACGCGCCGCCAAACACTCACTCTCACCTTCCGCTCTCACAATCTTCACTCCACCTGATTCCTCTTTCGTTAACTCCGGTCAACCCTCTCTCCCTCATCTTCTACTCCATTTTTCTCCTCTTTCACTTTCTCTCTCTTCACTCCAATCCCTCCCTTTTTCGTCCAAAATCCCTTCTCTATCTCCCTCCAGCTCACTTTATATCACGAGCTTAGCCACTGATCTTCAAATTTCAATAAATAACATCAAAATCGTCGGGTCTCCGATTTACGATGACGGGTACGTTGTCGTTTTTGCAATTGAAGATTTCTTCAGCCAAAATTTCACCCGCCCGAATACAAATCAAAACCCGAATTTCAAACCAAGTCCTCAGTGTATCACATTTGATCCATTTTCTCGGTTTTATGAGGTGTCGTTGATGTTGAAGTCAAAGGGTTATTTGATTATGGCTTCGTTTTTGGAGTTACAGTTGATTGGGTTTTTGAAAAGTAATAATAATGATTCACCGCCGTTAAAGTTAACGGTGTTTGCTCCAATGGATGACGCGATTGTTGGGTACGCAGGGGATTTTTCTGAGTATCAGCAGTTATTTTTGAGGCATTTGGTGCCGTGTGTTTGGTACTGGACTGATTTGAACAATGGAACTGAGATTAAGAATTATGTTAGTGGGTTTAATATGATGATTAAGAAGGTTAATGACGTGGCGTTTGTTAATGGAGTGGAGATTACGTATCCGGATTTGTATTATAATGATTGGCTTGTTGTGCATGGGTTGCAGAGTGTAATTCCTTTGCCTGATGAGATTGATGAAGAAATGGGTGAAAATTTTGGTATGGGTGAAAGTAATAATGCGGTGAATTTTGATGTTTCTATGGCTCCTGATCACAGTGAATTTTGAGGTAATGTGGTAATTTTTTTATTTTTTTTTTGAGTTTGTTTGGTGCATTATTTTTGATTGATTAATTCTGCTTTTTCAAGATTTGTGTGTGTGTGTGTGTGTGTTTTCATAGCCCCTGAACGCAGTGAATTTTGGGTTAATGTGGTAATTTTTTTTGTGAGTTCGTTTGGTGCATTGTGTTTGATTGATTTTTGCTTTTTCCAGATTAGTGTGTGTTTGTGTATGTTTATGTTAGTGTGTGTATATATGTGTGTTAGAGTGTGTGTGTGTGTGTGTTTCCATAGCCATTGATCCTAGTGAATTTTGAGGTATAATTAACAAGATGTTGCAGTAATTTTTGGAAACTTTATGAATAATTAATCAATTTTTAAATTATTGCCTAAGTTTCATAAAAAATACTTTCCTTCTAGTAACTTTTTGTAATACTTAGGTAACTATAAATGATTTTTTTTAGTTACGCAAAAATAGTTTAGTGACTATAATGACACGAAAAGTAGTTTATGATCAATTAGTTACAGAAAATTAAATTGTTTGGAACATTGTGTTTGATTGATTCTGATTTTTTTTAATGATACAGGATAGGTTGATGGTGGAACTTTAGTTGCTGTGGCATTTGGAAAGTGGAAATTATTTTTGCTGGTTTTGGTAACAATAGGGTATTTCAATGGTTTTAGAGTTTAAGTGATTGAATTGTAGATTCCTAGTCTTTGAGTAGTATAAAATAGTCTGAGTAGAACTGAGATATATGTTCAATACCACTGTTGATCTTGAGAATGTTAATTTTCTGCAATGCTAAACATTTGTGGTTCTATTTTTCATCTCTGTTTCCACTTTTCCTTAGCAATGGTTTTAAACGGATTAGAACTACTTAATTGGCATTACTTTCCTCAACATCCTATGTAGGTCAAGATTTTAATTTGAATTTAGCACCAATTACTGGCGAGGTGCTTAGAAAAGTGTAGAATAACAATATTAAAGAAGAAACATAAAAAAACAATTACTATTATGGTTCAGTACTAAACAAGTTAGGCTCGGCTATTTGAATCCTCATTAAACGAAAAAGAAATTCATTTTGCAGTTGCCCCATTTCGGCAGTAATTGCAGAAAGCTTGTTTGCAGTATCCATAGTCATACGTGCTAGTTCTCAATTTCTTTGAAAAGAATTTGATGAAGTGACCTCAAGTCAAGAATTGGGGCCTCACAATCACTAGCCATTATGCTTTTCTCTCATGCCTAGGATGCCGCCCCCTCGGGACTACCAGTAGCTTCGGTTGTTGAATCTCATGCAAGTTAGGTTGTGATTGTATTGGCGGCAAGCGGGGACAAAAGTGAAATTGGACATAATGGGGCACCTTGGATGTTCCAAAAAAACTCAATCAATTCAATTGTGAAGAATACTAAAAAAAAAAATAAAAAAAAAAAGGGCAACCCGGTGCACTAAGCTTCTGCTATGCGCGGGGTCCGAGGAAGGGCCAAACCACAAGGGTCTATTGTATGCAGCCTTACCCTGCATTTCTGCAAGAAGCTGTTTATATAGCTTGAACCCGTGGTTCCGTCTTAAGCTGTCTCTATCCAACTAAGTTGCTTTTCCTTAATTTCTCAAGTTTTCTCCACAAAGCTTTAACGGTATCCTCTTTTCCCTCTGCAAGAAGTGCCCGTTTTAGATTATCAAACAAGGGAAGTGGAGGTCTCATGCCCATATCAAGCATTTCTTGAAAGTATCTGCAGGCATCATCCAATCTATTCTCATGGCAAAAGCTGTTAATCAATGTCGAAAACATATGCATTCCCGGAAGAACTCCCCTAGCTTTCATTTGATCCCATACCCTCAGAGCCATATCGGTCCGGTCCTCATTGCAGAACATCCTCACCATTATCTCGTATGTACTCACAGTCGGTTCGCAGCCAGGATCATTGCTCATTTTCTGGAACACCGAATAAGCCTCATTCGTTCTTCTGGCCTTTATAAGATGGTGAAGAATGATATCATATGTTCGGGTATTTGGACCAATCTTACTTCTCCTCATCTCATCTAGTAACTTATATGCATCGTCCATACGCATAGACCAGCAATAAGCTCCCACCATTGCATTAAACGTGAATACCTCAAGATCAAAACCACTACCCTTATATAGCTCAAAATACTTAAGAGCCTCAACCAACCTTTTCTCCGATCCCAAACCATTTATCAACGTGCAATACACGTGAGGCGTTACCCTAATCTTCTTCCTTTCCATTTCGCGTAACAACTCAATCGCCTCATCATACTTTTTAACCTTGCAACGAGCATGGATCATGATTCCATAGCTCACGACATCAGGCTCAATATCATCAGCCTTCATCTCCTGATAAACTTCATTTAGCCTCAACAAATTCTTCTCTCCACCCCACCCTTCTAACAATATAGTATAAGACTTAATATTAGGCTTCAGTTTCCCATTATTCTTCCACTTATCAAACACTTCTTGTGCTTTCCCAACATTCCTAGACTTGCTCAATGTATCAAGCAATCTATTAAAATCTTGCAGCTCAACAACCAACCCATATTTCTCCATCCTCTCAAACGCCTCGATAGCTTCTTTTACCTTCCTAGCACGAGCATATCTCCGTGAAATAAGTGCAAATGCCTCTTTACACAACAACCCTTTCTTCTTCAACTCATCAACCAAAATCCAAACCATTTTGAACTGTTTGATCTTTCCTAGAGCTTCAATCAACCCATGATAACTCTCTGAAGTATGCACGAAACCATTCTGTTTCTCAGCCCAACGGAAAAAAGACAATGCTAAAACCCCAGAATTGCTGAGCTTCTTTACAACCTCCTCAACTAATAAAGGACTCACATTTACTGAAACAGAACCCAAAGCATCAGCTACACATTTCGTCGAACAAGTGGTGTTCAATAATATTTTGCAGATTCTTTCTGCCTCTGGGATAATTTTTGGGTTTTTGGGATTTGGATTTTGGTCATCAGCATTAGAACTGACATGGGTATTCACTGAATAGTAATGAATTTGGAAAAAGGGCAATAATTTGCAAAAGGGGGTTATTAGGGTTTTAGGGGTTTTAGGTATGCGACTAATGGATTGATGGAGACTCATTTTTCGGATGAATTTTGAGGGACAACTGTGTAAATAAAGAAATTGAATTGCAAAAAGTTGGCGGGAATGAGAGAAAATGATTTCTCTTCCGCTTTTCTAATTTATTGTATGACGTTTGAATACTAGGTAATGGGGGAAAATATTTTCTCTTGTTTGGACGGGATAGGCATATTATATTTATATTTATTATTAATAAAACATCACATAAAGAATTGAACGGCTTAATCTTTTTTGTTCAAATTTATGAAAGTCACAAAAAAATCTGTATTTGTTAAGATTGCTGATTTGACATAATTCAAAGAGTTAAGAAAATTAGACTGTCCAATATAAATCGATAAGCATAATAGACCAAAAATAGAAATAAGAACCATAGTTCGCTTTTAGTTTTGTCATTATTCTTCATTCACTCAGTTTTCCATTTTGATTCAAATAAAACCAATGTTAATCAAATTACAATTGATTAAATCAGTGACATACAAATCATTTGGACTGCATGTGCACCTGTTTTAAATAGTTAATGGACTATTAATTCTCTAGGTTAAACATAAATGATGATTTTGATCCAGGGCTGAAAGTTGAAGGACTATTTAGGAGCTTATGCCATTTAATAGAGGAATCATAAATGCAATTAATAAGTCGCATCTAATGCTATTTATTAGTCCATTCTGGAGATGCGATAATGCAATTTATTAATCTCATTCAACAATATTATTAATAGGTCATATTCAGAAGAGAAGTTTTATTGTGTGTCTCACACAACTGTGAGACAAAAAGATGCCTTATACAATTAATGTCAGTTGTATGAGATACAAAATACAAGATATCGATGGTGAAAACGGTTGTCCTTTTGCTTCTGTATTCAGTTTACTGTAATTCTTTGAATGTTGCTTTTACAAACTACATTTTTTTTCCCTTCTTTTATTTTTGTTTCTATATTTATTTTTTTAATTCTTTATTTTTCTTCTGTGTGAGAAACGCGTTCACAGTGCAAAAGCTTTTTCCAGGTTCCATTCTAAGGAGCAGTAAGCCGACGAAAAAGCCAACGGCAGTCGATATATAGTATATATACATAAAAAATATTTTACCTAATTATATAGTGTAATTTTGGGTCGAAGGAGTGTCGATTGAGACCTCTTAAATACGTGTGGCTACACCACTACTAAGGGGTACCCCGCATATGATAAGGACATTATTTATGTAGGACGTTAGTTCAATAGAGTCGACAACTATGTCTCAATCCCAAGCTAGCAGGATTGGCGTAATCTGTAGTTTCTTAAAATTTAAAAGCAGCAGAGAACGCAAGGTTAATTTTTCAAATAGTCATTCAACTTAAGGTTATTTTAGGGAGAAATTCAAAAATAGCCAGATTTACAAGTGGTCATTCAAAAATAGCCACAGTTTCAAAAGTAATCAAAATTTAGCCACTTTTCATATAAAGATAAATCTGAACGAAAATATTATTCAAAATCCGAAAAATACTCCAGCATAATATATTGGAGTTCCAACATAAGTATACTGGAACTCCAATATATTATAATGCAGTTCCAGCATAAGTATACTAGAACTCCAGCATATTATAACGGAGTTCCAGCATAAGTATACCAGAACTCCAGCAGAATATACTGGAGTTTCAGTATAATATACCGGTCCAGTATAATATGCTGGAAGTTCATACACAGGTGCTCCAATCTCCAGTATATTATGCTGGAACTTTTCGCGTGTTGGAGTTCCAGCATAATATGCTGGAAGTTCATACACAGGGGCACCAATCTCCAATATATTATGCTGGATCGGGGTACCAGCAAAATAGTTGCTATTTTTCAATAACTTTGCAAACACTAGCTATTTTTGAATGACCAGTCCGAAAACTGACTAGCTCGTGCTATTTTTACTTATTTTTACAAAAGTCACTAACTAATTTGTCACTTTAAATTAAATAATTTATTACTCTTTAGGGGGAGGACGATATTAGCAAAAACAAGAAAAAAAATTCAGACCTATTAGGATTTCAAAAAAAAAAATCTCAAGTGTTATATGATTTATTCTCATCCGTCTAAGCCTTGGTAGGTAATCTCCGTTATCCAACAACAACAACAAACACAGTGTAATCCCACAAGCGAGTCTGTGAAGGGTAGTGTGTACGCAGACCTTAACCCCACCTTGAAGGTAGAGAGGCTATTTCCGATAGATGGAGATTTGTTATCCCAATACCTGTAATTGTATCATGTTTATTCACTATTAACACACATACAGAACTTCTCTTAAATCAAGAAAAAAAAATAAGATACATAAAATAGGACTAGATCATCTATAACCCACAAAAAGAGAAAAACCAAACGAATCGCTCAAAGATGCAAAAATAGTTACTTTAGATAGCATTTTACCAGACTTCTATAGAACAAAGCATAGCTACCAACCTGAAAGAGACGAAAATGTACGATGACTTGGTTCACATAAACCTCAATGGATCTATTTAGACTGCATATAACACAATGTCAAGTAATGATAAAACCTCAAACGGCGTACATGTACTAGAAAATGTGAATACTCATTAATGCCTTAAAAAATGAAAACTATAGATGTGGTACAGTGGGAGATTCCTCTTATTGCGCTGGGAGACCGTATATGGTGGCTCTACAACTAATTCGTATGAATGCCACAGCCCAATGTCAATGCTTCATCAACTTGCAATCTCAAAATGAACACTCAAGAAGCCGATAACTAGAACGAATCTCCCAAAAAAGAATGTCAACCAAAAATGCATCTAAGCTGAAAGTACGCAAACCTGGTATCAACTCAGAGCCGGTAGAGATAATGGACATTCAAATCGTACTTTTGCTCGTCATCTACATTGATTTGATTGTGAGCTCAAATCTTGAAGCATTCTTTGTACAGAATCCCCTAAGTTTTTCACTTGAGGTCCAGGCTTCAAAACGTTGACATCACCCCATCGCGAACAAGGATCCATCCTCCAACTCTTTCGACCCGTGCACCATGCACCTGGGGTGACTCTATTATGGCTACGTTTAAGGATATTCTGATCAATCATGTCAAGTACCGTCTCGTCTTTATTAAACTGTCTAGCAAATGCAGCTCCACTTTGCGCCATAAGATCGTAATCTGAAGTGTTAAGGAAGAGGGGCTCCATCTTAGGGGGATTATCCCACACCATATATCTCATGTCACTATTAACTGTTGTATTCTTAAACTCCGGTGAATTGCAAACAACAGAATGGAAATAAACTTCTTGTGACAATACTGCATTGGTAAAATACATTAGAAGGGTTCTTGGAAGGTTGTCCCATCCAAAAACACAGAACTCGAGAAATGGTCGGCTCAAGATAACCCAAGGAGAGCCTGTAATTGAATAAATAAGTATATCAGTTAGTCATGAATTCAAAAAATAAATATGTAATCTACAAATCCATCAGATAGTAATATGAATATGAAGAACTCTACCAGTAAACACTTGGAAAGCCTCAGGCAACGGCCGCTTTTCGGTCGCATAAAAAATTTGCGTCTTCCGTGCTAGGTAAAGCCCTGGATCAACTACAATGGGCTTTATACGTTGACCCCTACAATTCCATTAAACAAAAAAAATTATTCAAGTTTCTGGACATATATATGGTAATAAAAAAAAATTGAAAACAAGATTTTGCCTACTCTTTCCATCCAAGGTCGCTGGTGTGATCAATGAAATTTAGGTCTCTACTAACTGATGAGAGGACATGAGATAAGTCTGAAAGCAAAGTAGAAACCATGCCACAGTCAGTCAGAAAATGAACAAGGAAGTCAATTAATAGATAGTATGCAATTATCACGAAGTCAAGTAAGACCTAGTATTCAAATTTCTTAACAACAAGGCAAATATTAGATTAAACACGGAACTGGACATCTCATGCCCTCAATAATTCAACATTTATCAAGGACTTTCCTGTATGATTCAACAGTCAAGGCCAATCCTTATCATTCAGCATATATCAGCAGACTATTATGATAATTAAATTAAGCAAAGTAGCCTATCCTTTCTTCCACTCCGCTCAACACCTGCTTCTAACACATAATTTCACCTTCTTAAGCTTAGCATACCCCCTACAATCCTCACCGCCCTTCCCATCCCACCAAAAGTGAGGAGGAATGATAATTTTATCACTTTCTCATCTGTATAGTAAGGAAAGTAGCAGGAATGCTCTCTTTCCCCTTCTCTTTCAATCAATAGATCACTCAGCAACGCCTCAATCCCAAACAGAGTTGGGGATGGGTGGCGCTTTTCATCTTTATTATCTAGGATAACTTCACCAAAATGTGGATGGAAATTACTCTGAGTCTCTCACTCCTATAATGGTGAGATCGTTATTGGCAAGACAATTACTTGCAAATAAATTTCAAATACAGTTTTCAGATTGGTAGGCTAGATGATCGCATAGTTGGATCAAATAAATTTAAACAGATTCATGGTTTTCAAGGTGGAAAGGAGGTATCATATCAGTCGAAACGGCGCATGAAACTCTTGCTGCAGATGAACTGTTTTTTTTTTTTTTTGAAAATTTATTCAGACTATTAATCAATCAATTACCGTATCATCATGTTTTGAGTTAATGCGAGTTGCCAACATCTCGGATCAGAGCAGAACTACAAGTACGACATGCAAATCCAACCAAATTATCCTGACTAGTTATTCCACAAAGAGAAGTAAACCAATCAGATATCACAAGAATGAGATCTGTCATATAATTACAAAGAGAGTAATTAATAGATTTTTCTCTCACTTTAGTCACCACTAATATACCAGAAAAACACAATATTCTAACCACGTTGAATGAGCTTGATCCAGAAAGTTAACCACAAACCTAAAATACACTTAGAGACAAATTTCACTACCGGACACTAATCCAGTTGGCAACATAATATAAGTCAATGATACAACAAAGTAAGATCCAAAATTCAAAATTTCAATCTTCACACACAGCTCATATCTGAACAACAACAACAACCCCGTTGAATCCCACAAGGGGGGTCTAGGGAGGTTAGTGTGTACGCAGACCTTACCCCTACCCTGAGGCTATTTCTATAGACCCTCGGCTCAAGAAAGAGAAAAGACAGCTCATATCTGAACCTTAATAAAAATTCAAACCCCACACACAGCTCCTATCTGGAAACTTAACTCATCCATAGAGACGAAAAATTGGAACTTTAAGCAAACTATAAGTCTTAAAATTCAAAAACCCGCGAATCTTTCAGCAATTATGAGCTTCTACTTTAAGAATTAGCCAAAAATAACACAATTATGAACAAAACAATAACCAATTAAACTGGAGTAAAAACTGAAATAGCTATACATACCATCTTGAGTAATCAAAGGATAATCAGAGGCACTTAGATTAACAAACCAATCCCATCCACCATCCATCTTCAACAAAATCGCGACCGCCCTAAGCATTGCAGCTATATTAGTTGAACCCATATAAGTAACTGGATCAGGCTTTCCAACTACATCTACATTCCCAAAAGCCTGAATTACAGGCACAGATTTCACTAACATCCCGAGTTTTTGCCTTTCCTCTTCACTCCCATCTACACCAATGTGCAACAAGTACCTATTCCTAGGATGATACACAGCTAATAAAAGCCTAAAAATCCTATCACTATCACCTCTTCCACCTGAAATATAGTATCCAAAGGCCGGGGGATGACCCGGCCCGTGATGCACAGGAGTAGCAAATCTCCTGTGCAATGAAAATGCATAATAAGATGAGCTAAAACCTGAAATTGAAGACAAGAATATGAGAAATGATACAAAGGCTGCACAAAACAGTGCATATAGCCATTTTTTTTCAGCTCCCATCTTATAGCATGGGGGAAAAAATTTGGAAAATTTTCAAGATTGAAACTTTTTCCAAAATTCTGATCTGGGGTTGGATTTTTTTGTGAAAAAAATGATTTCTTGGTATTATTGGGTTTATGAATCTTTAGCTAAAAATGGGTTCTTTTGAGATCCCCTCAAGAAATAATTTTTTTACTCAAAATCAAGAATTTTTATCTCAAAAATGAGTTTTTTGAGATCTTTGATACAGTGAAAATAATTCACTTAAATCAAGAAACTTTTCTGAGAAATTCACTTTCAAAATGGTATATATCATGGGAGAAAAATACTCAGACTGATATGGTAAAACCTGGAAATTGTGGAAATTTTCCTGATTTAGGATTAGGGTTTGAAGCAGGAGGGTATATAAGTTTAAAAAGAAGATGAGAAACAAAGAAAAGAGTAAGATTAGAAATGGAAGCAAAGTTTCTTCTTTTTAATTTTTCACGAAAAGAGTAATATTAGATATGGAAACTAATATTATTCCTATTTTGATCTACTTAATTATACAAATAAAAATAGTACTAGTAGTACTAATTGTAATAGGGGATTAATTGTATTACACGCAGATAAGAGCGTGGAAACACGGTAAGTAGAGTTGGATAGAGCTGTGTGAATGACGTGCTTAGGTAGCGCGTGGAAGTGTGATGAATCTGAGACATATTCTATTATTGTCACAGGTGAATTTATTCATCTGCTTTTGTTGTCTTGGTTTTTGTTAGAACTTTATAATTTTTTTACTAAATTGGAATTCTCTCTGCCTAACATCGAGTGGTATGATAAGATAGTTGGCATTTCATCAATTTTAATTAGGTATTTCGGGATCGTTTGATTGGAAACAAGTTATTTCGTGATTAATTATCCGGAATTAGTTACCCTATCATCCCATAACGATAAAAGAATACTATAATTTCGAGATAATTAATCTCAGGATTAGTTATATCACGATTTTATTCCAACCAAACATGGGATAAACTTATCTCAAATCTAATCTCGGAATTAATTATCTCTTATTCCTCGTACCAAACGAGCTCTTCGAATTTCAATAGATGATTTCTTGATACAGAATATCTTGCCCCCTTAGGGGTCGATTGGTTGGGAAACAAGTTATCCCATATTAATTATCCCGAGATTAGTTATTCCACCCTCCTATATGGATTAAAAAATATTGCAATCCAGGGATTAATTATATTACGATTTTATCCCAACCAAACACGAGATAAATTCATCTCAAATTCTAATCCTGGGATTAATCATCTCTTATCCCTCATACCAAACGAGCCCTTAGTTGCCTTAACAGGTTTGCTTGGTGTCTGATTAGTGAGTTCTGAATATCGAATGCTTAAATAAATAAAAAATCAAAAAAATATTGATTGTTCCCCCTTTTTCTTTTTTGGTAAACACCATTGTCGAAGGAGGAATAGTGAGAAATTTGAAATTTTTACAAATGATACTATTCTTTTACTATTATTAAGAGTGATTCAATCTTAACAATTTTGGGAAATAGTGTTTGGACCAAAAAGAAAGAATTCTTTTTTTGTCAGATTTTAATTTGCTAAGTGTAACTTTTCTTTGACTAATCAATTTAGTTTATGAGATTGAAACATTGATAACCTTGAATGGAATCACCTAACATGAATTATCAAACTAATGTATTTAATGTCATATTCTATTTTTTTATGATTGCTTTGATTTATTATGTTCATATGAGAACGTCAATATGTTTAGTATATTTCTTAATCATTTTTTTTCTGTTGGTGATTCATCATTTTCTTTTACTAAAAATAATACTTAAACCTTTTCTATTATTAACACGACAAGTGTCGTTTGTGAATTGTATACAGTTATATCAAACGTAATCCAATTAATTTTTTAGCATTTATACTTTAAGATCGAATTGCTTTTCCTAGACTTATGTGTTTGTGTTTGGTATGACATAAGTTATTGTTTTGATAAATATATTTAAAATTATTTGTTTATTGAAAAAGAATTTTTAAAATGCATATCGGTGTACAACATGGTGTCAAAAGCATATGTAGAAAACTTGGGTTTTGTATTTCACTATCAATCCGCTGCCCATTATTAAAAAAGAATTTTACGTGCTTAATCATGATGATATGATCGCACACGCTATAACAACTTTTCACTTTTTAGCAAACAATATTTTTCTTGAAAATAATTTTTGGCAATCAAATAACAGAAAATTACGATTAAATTTTCCATCATAACGAAACACATATAATATATCTTTCATTTTTCCTCGACGATATTCATTTTTTTCTTAAAATACGAGTCAATAATGTTGTGTAGTTCTTATAAAATCGTCAAGATTCTTAATTAACTAGTAAGATGAATGGATGAGCTAAAATAATTATTGACTAATTAAAAAATTAATCTTCTCTAGTGGTACCATGTGCCTAATTTTAGCCCCCCAATAACTTCAAGTTAGGTTTACGAAAAGAATGGGATTTATGTTCCTAGCATCGTAAAAATTTCCAATATTATATACAATTATATTTACAGAAGCGAATATTTTTAGAGTTCGTGAAGTTTAAGAAATGTGGGAATTATTATTAATTAATTTAGAAAGTCAAAGAGGCATTTGCTTGAACAATTTCACAAACATAGTTTGCCAAAAAAAAAGAGTGTTTATGTTATTCTGTTTAAGCTGTTTTTCAATTAAAAATAAATAAATAAAAAACTTTGACATTTTCAAACTTAATTTTAAAAATCTTTCAATAATTAATTTATAAATATTCAAAAAAGTGAAAACAAGCAAATTTTAAAATAATGAAAAATCGGTAACAAAAAGTAGAAAGAGGATAAAGTAACCGAGTTGAACTTTTTATTAGTTAGTTTTTGGCTGAAGTAAAGTTATGGAGAGATTACCTTTGCCATATTTCGAAAAAGTAAAGACAAAAATGTAAGGCTTTGACTAAAGAAGGGAGTCATAGTTTACCTAACAATATGGGAAAAATTTTGAGCATCTCTTTTATGTTATCTTTTACTCGGCTCTTATAAAATAATGAGTAGTATTTAAAATAAAAATTTTATGTGTAAAACTGTCACGACCCCAATCCCGGTTGTGATGGCGCCCAACACACTGCTAGGCAAGCCCGACCAATTTAATAACCTTAACCATCTTTATACAGTTCATGAATTAATCAACATGGATAAATTACTAAGTCATAATAATGCAATTCTGAAATAGAGTTAAAACATGCGGAATCCCAAGTACAAAACAACTACACAGCCCGAAGAATCCGGTGTCACAAATCTGAGCCTCTAATAACGAATGTCAACCTACTACATAATAGCCTGAAGAAATGCGGAACAAAATAAATAGGATAGATGGGAAGATCAGGACTGCGAACGTCATGCAGCTACCTTGATTCTCCCGGATAAGATGCTCGACAGAGAAAGTCTCACTCAGCCTCAGTGGGTGCACCTGAATCTGCACACGGGGTGCAGGGAGTAAAGTGAGTACTTCCAACTCAGTGAGTAATAAATATAAATAAAGACTGAGAATAAGAAATCCTGAATAGGCACAAAGTAATTCTATAAATACAGAAACTTGAAC